CCCCTCTTTTCTTTCCTTTCCTTTCCTTTCCTTTTCTTTTTTTCTTTTCTTTTCTTTTCTCTTTTCTTTTCGATAACCAACTAATTCCAGTTAGTGCAGCCCATATGTGTATGGTGTGGAGCCATACACTGAAGCCCAGGAAATGCTGATAGTAGGAACACTTTCAAGGAAGAATGATTCTTTCCCAGCAGCTATCAACTGTCAAGACTCAGCTGGGCAGATGTTCTCTTAAATTTTATGTTACTGAAAAGTTGCCTAGACTTTTTTTTTTTTTTCTTGGCATTTCAGTGTTATACCAGGGTACTACATTGAATTTTAATCAAGTCTTCTTCCTAGATTCTTGATGAGTCATTTAATGGGCTTCTGATTCTTAATACAGTGTTGGTTTGGTTTTTGTCTTTTTTTTTTATTATTGTTTTTGGTTTTATGAGACAGGGTTTCTCTGTGTAGTTTTAGTGCCTGTTCTGGATCTCGCTCTGTAGACCAGGCTGCAGGCTGGCCTTGAACTCACAGAGATCCTCCTGGCTCTGCCTCCCCAGTGCTGGGATTAAAGGCGTGTGCCACCACCGCTCAGCTACAGTGTTCTTTTTTATTACCATAAATAAAACCACTTTTAAAACAGGTTTACTTATAGATAAAGTAGTGCTTCGTTGAATTTTGTTACTGAATATCATATTAAAGTTCTCTTTATAGCATTGCTATGTGTACTTGGTTTTAAAAAGTAGGTTCTTCTATACTTTTTTTAAAAGTTTACCAAAGTACTAGATTTAAAGCAGTTTTTTTTTTTTTTTTTTTAGTTAAACTCTGGAATGTTGTAAGTAAAGATCACATGCTTAATTTGGTTAAACCAGAGACCCATTCAAGTAGATCATGCTATTTTTCTCTGAGACAGACCCTATGAACAATCACATAGTTTTGGATTTCTTGGTTCTTTGTCCCCACAAATATTCTGGTATATAACTGAAGGAATGTGAGCAATTTTTATTGTAACGTTCTCTCATTTAGCTAGATAATTTGATGTGCTGGGGGCAGTACTCCTTAAACTTTTTAAAGTTTCTTATGGACTCCCATAGAATACTGTTTTAAGTAGAGATTCTGATTCATCAAAAGACTGAGGCAGGATTATTGAGAGTTCAAGGTCAGACCCAGCTACCCACAAAAACCCTTTTTAATAAACAAGCAGACAAAAATACAGATTCTGCTTTAGTTGGTCTGGAAAAAAAAAATCTATATTATTGTGAAACCCCTTTATTTCTTTTTTTAATCATGATTTTTTTTAATTCCTGAGAATTTCATGTTCTATAAAATGAAATATCAAACCCAACCCCATTTCCCTCATCCAACTCCCCACATATTCCCTAACATGTCATCTTCCCAACTTTGTCTTTTTTCCTTTGAAGGTCTAAAATTTTTTTATTTATGACAGTGTTGCACGATCTCTTTCACTGGTAGATGGCCTTGAATAATTCATTCAAGAAAGGTTGTTTAGTCCAACTTTATGAAACCTGTGTCCTTTGCATACTGATGAAAACACTGCCAAAACTTGTTCATATTTCTGGATCAGACTGTAGTTGTTAGAGTAGGCTTGAAAAAACACAAGAATCCTGCCCAGAACTGTGAGCAACTCTGTAGAGCTGCTGGTGACCCGTCTTGCCTTCAGATGGCCAACAAGGGAGAAGACTGTCTTTTTGGATAAGTCCAGTTAGTGTTGCGCATATGGGTGGGTCATCCACTATAGCACAAGAAGTGTTGCCAATGGAAGGAAACACCTTCAAAAAGACTGAGTTTTTCTCCCCCAGCAGCTGTCAAATGCCAGTCACTCATAACAAAGGAGTGAGGCCTGAAGAGTACCTCTCCCATCTGTCTGTGCCAGAGTTTGGCTGCCTTGATCTTGTGCAGGGTTACTATGTCTGCTGTGGATTTCTGAGTTCTGTAACCATGTCATATCTAGAAGACAGCATTGCACTGCACTTTTCTCCATCCTCTGGCCCTTATGTTCTTGCTACCACCTCTTTCGAGACATACCTGGAGCCTTGGGACTTAGGGGATGCTGTTGATAAAGATCCTATGTAGGACTGAGTATTCCATTTTTTTTCAGCATTTTGACTAATTTTGCATCTTTGCAATGATTGCTGTCCACGGAAAAAAGAAGCCTTTCTGACCAAGACTTAGAGCATCTCACATCTATGGATATAAACAGATATTTAGAAGGCAATTTTACCGTGACCATTTAGAAAAAATAGTAGCAGGTTCAGTTCTAGGGCTTAAGACCTCCGAAGCCTTGGGATTTTGATCAAGATTATAGTACCAGGCATGAAATTTCCTCCTTTGGAGCAGGGCTCGAATCCTGTCAGTCAGTATTGCACCAGTGGGCACATCTTGCCATTCCTTCTGTATTGTGGCATGCAGGATCCAGCACTGGGTAAGATCGTTGGTGTCTTTTCTCTCTCAGCAGCCTTCATAGCTCTTTCTGACATTATGAAAACAAAGGAAGTTTCCCTATTGGTTTGAGATTGATATCTCTATGGCCTACAACCATAGTGTGTGCTGTCTTCAGCAGTAGGGTCTTACCATGGAATCAGGGTGGGTGTCTTAGGGTTTCCTTTTCTGTGATAAAGTGCCATGACACCAAAAGCAACTTAGAGAGGGAAAGCTCTAAGTCAGCCTTCAGTTGTAAGCCATCATGAAGGGAAGTCAGGGCAGGAACCTGGAGTCAGGAACTAAAGCAGAGGCCATGGAGGAGCGCTGCTTACTGGCATGCTCCTCCTGACTTGCTTAGCCTGCTTTCTTCCAGGACCACCTGCCCAGTGTTGGCGTCGTCCGCAGGGGGCTGGTCCCTCCTGTATAGTCATTAATCAAGAAAATGCCCAAGAGACTTACCTATAGGCCAACTGAGAGCCCCACTTCCCAGATGACCCTACATTGTATCAAATTGATATAAGACTAATCAACACAGTGGGTAACCAAGGATAGCCTGTGGTATTTTGTATACCTTTGGAATCTCCCTACCAATAAATTGTAGGGAGGTATCTCCTGACTTACATTGCAATTTTCATATAATAATTCATGTCCTCTGGGAGCTACATTGTCCACCAGTGCAGGGTAATTCCATGCAGACATTTCTTTTTGTTTTTGAAATTAGCTTACTAACATGGTTTCCTTCATTTTGGTTAATTCACAATCTATATCTCCTCTTCTACTCATCCCCACCTCCATTCTTGCTTAGTCCTTTACCCCACCTGCCCCACTATACCCTTTTCTTCTTTCATAGCACGTGTATTCTGCTATAACTCCAATTAGATTTTACAAATGGATTTTGAGGTAGTAGACTTTAATAGGTCTTCCCATACCCCTTCCTTTGGATTGGCCTTCCTTACAGCCCCTTGGTTTTACCCATGCTCCCCAAGCCTTTCTACTCCCAGTAGTGTCCCTTCCCAACTCCAACTGAAAAATGCCCCTTCTGGCTTCCTCTTGTGCTCCAAGTTAAACACACATGGGACAAATGATTTGAAGCTAGAATTTGCATATAAGAGAGAACATGCAACATTTGTTTTCTCCACCTAAGTTACTGCACTCTTAATTCTTTTTCTAATTCTTTGCATTTATCTGCAATCATGATTACATCTTTCTTTACTGCTGAGTAATACTGTAATGTGTTCTTATCCATTTGTGAGTTGATAGACATACAGGTGATTCCACTTCCTAACTATTGTGGAGAGAGTGGTAGGGAACTTTAAAATGCAGCTGTCTCTGTAATAGGATGTAGTCTGTTGAGGATAAGCCTAAGAGTCAGATAACTGGATCATATGGCTATTTCTAGGTTTTGTTTTGTTTTGTTTTGAAAAACTTCCCAAATGATTGCCAGCATTGCTGCCCAAGTTTACATGCCCACCAACAGTATGTAAGAGTTCCCCTGTCACAGCATCTGTACCAGTATTGGTTGTCATTAGTAATGCTGATTATGGCCATTCTGTTTTGCCATATATATGGTTCAGCTTTTTTATGTTAGGGCAAAGATTGTTATTCTGATCTTTGTACTGTCTTCCTTCATGTGTAATTTTAAAAATATCTGCCCAAATAATAGTCACATTTGTTCAGCTGGCATTCACTGCCATCGTTAAGGCCCCATTTCACAGCAGAATCAAACAAGATAGCACTAAAATTGATTTATATATGGCAGAATCAAATTGTTCAACTACACTCTTGCTTTTTAGAATATAAGCCATTGATAAGGAACATTGACATTTATAAGCTCATTAGAAATATACAGACTTTTGGAGCCAGCCTGTACTAAAGAAATCAGTATACACTGTACCAAGACTCCAGAGCAACACTGAAACAAAATGATCCAGGAGACAGTTTCATCTTGAGCCATTTTATAGTCCACTGGTGTCCTGCAGAAGTGAGTCAGAAAGTTCTCCTGTTTCATTAGAAGCTGCGAGGGTGTAAGCATGCATGTTTTTTTTTTCTAGTCAGCCTTCCAGAGAGAGAGGATAGATAGTAAGTGAGAATGGGCCACATAGC